GTGTGGTGTGTGTACCTGTGTATGTGCGTACCTGTGTGTAGTGTGTGTACCTATGTGTGTGTACTTGTTGTGTATGTGTGTACCTGTGTGTGGTGTGTGTACCTGTGTGTGGTGTGTACTTGTGTGTGTATGTGTGTACCTCTGTGTGGTGTGTGTACCTGTGTGGTGTGTGTATGTGTGTACCTGTGTGTGTATATGTGTGTAGTGTGTGTACCTGTGTGTGTATGTGCGTACCTGTGTGTGGTATGTGTACCTATGTGTGTATGTGTGTACCTGTGTGTGGTGTGTGTATCTGTGTGTGTGTGTGTTCTTGTGTGTGATGTGTGTACCTGTGTGTGATGTGTGTATGTGTGTACCTGTGTGTGGTGTGTGTACCTGTGTATGTGTGTACCTGTGTGTGGTGTGTGTACCTGTGTGGTGTATGTACCTGTGTGTGGTGTGTGTACCTGTGTGTGGTGTGTATACCTGTGTGTGTATGTGTGTACCTGTGTGTGGTGTGTGTACCTGTGTGGTGTGTGTACCTGTGTATGTGTGTACCTGCGTGTGGTGTGTGTACCTGTGTGTGGTGTGTGTACCTGTGTGTGGTGTGTGTACGAGTGTACATGTGTGTACTTGCGTGTGGTGTGTGTACGAGTGTACATGTACTCACCTAATTGTGGTTGCAGGGGTCGATACTCAGCTCCTGACCCCGCCTCTTCACTGAGTGCTACTAGGCCCTCTCTCTCCCTGCTCCATGAGCTTTATCATACCTCGTCTTAAAGCTATGTATGGTTCCCGCCTCCACTACTTCACTTGCTAGGCTATTCCACTTCCTGACTACTCTATGACTGAAGAAATACTTCCTAACATCCCTTTGACTCATCTGGGTCTTCAACTTCCAATTGTGACTCCTTGTTTCTGTGTCCCATCTCTGGAACATCCTGTCTCTGTCCACCTTGTCTATTCCACGCACTATTTTGTATGTCGCTATCATGTCTCCCCTGACCCTCCTGTGTGTGTACGAGTGTGATGTGTAAGTGTGCGAATGTGTGCAATGTGTGTACGTGTGTGTTGTGTGTACATGTATGTACGGGTGGTATGTGTGTACGTAGTTGATATGTGTACGTGTATGTACAGGTGTTGGTGTGTACGTGGATGATGCGTGTACATGTGTGTACGTAGATGATGCGTGTACATGTGTGTACGGGGACAATGTGTGTACATGTGTGTACGTGGATGATGTTTGTACGTGGATGATGCACGTACATGTGTGTACGTGGATGATCGTGTACATGTGTGTACGTGAATGATGTTTGTACGTGGATGATGCATGTACATATGTGTACGTGGATGATGCATGTACATGTGTGTGCGTGGATGATGCATGTATAAGTGTGTACGTGGACGATGCATGTACATGTGTGTACGTGGATGATGCATGTACATGTGTGTGCGTGAATGATGCGTGTACAAGTGTGTACGTGGATGATGCATGTACATGTGTGTACGTGGATGATGCATGTACAAGTGTGTACGTGGATGATGCATGTACATGTGTGTACGTGGATGATGCATGTACAAGTGTGTACGTGGATGATGCATGTACATGTGTGTACGTGGATGATGCATGTACATGTGTGTACGTGGATGATGTATGTACATGTGTGTACGTGGATGATGTATGCACGTGTGTGTACGTGGATGATGCATGTACGTGTGTGTACGTGGATGATGCATGTACGTGTGTCGTACGTGGATGAGCCCACTTATAAAAACTCAACTCAATTTACTCTGACATATAAATATGACCAAAATTTGGACATGACATTTTGACATGACGTTTTAACACGGCGGTTTGACATGACCCAAACCATCTCAACCTCGGCACCATTCTCTGAATTACGAAGTTAGTAGTGTAGGTACGCCTCTGGCAAGACAGTGGTGGAATGAATGATGATCAAAGTGCTTCTTTTTTCCGGGTCATCCCACCCAGTCGATGTGTTAACCCAAAAAAAAATAAAAAATAACTCCTAGTTTAGTGATATACGATCATGTTATCACACTTGATATCTCACCCGTGTATCCTTATATTGGAGGTTCATGTTATCATGGTACTGGATGGTCAGGTCGATGTCCTTAGCGTAGGCCGAGACAGCGAAGTGGTCACAGATCCTCTTGATGCGTTCTCTGGATCTGAGTTCGTGTCCCGGCTGGACGGCCAGAGTGTGGATGTAGAAGTCTGCTGGGTTGAAGGTCGCCGGGCACTTGTGACCCAAGCTAGCGAAGGAGACGAGGTCAGAGGTCAAAATGGTCAGGGAGATTAAGACACTTGATGGTTATTCTTCAGTCAGATACAAAGGGAGCAGTAGTAGTGAAATGAAGACGATATAATCAGTCCATCAACCTTGGAGAAAAAGTATTTGAGGTGGTCAGTCCCTCAGTCTGGAGAAGAGCTCAGCTCCATGGTCTGGAACTGAACTCTTCTCCAGGCTGAGGGACTGACCACCTCAAATACCGATTCCAACATCACTACTTCACCTGTTGCCTCTGTATGTGACTGAAGAATCCTACTGTGTAGGCGATACGTTTCATCAATAAAGCAACCCAACTGTTGCACATGTGTCTTAATCATCAACCCGTCCGTATTTCATACCAATATCAGTAATGGTGAGAGAGAAACAAGTGCAGGTCAGAACGAGGAACAATAACCTAACTGATGTAAACGTCTCACTGGATGAAAGAGCAACGTTGGATCCTGTCAGACGAAAATATTAAAAAAAAACTGACTAGTTTTTGTCTGCAAGTTATGAGTGAGTTTTGAGTTGTACCAGTCATGGTGATTGTGAGTTTTTCTTACAGGGTTAATAAAGAACGAAAAGGCACAATACCGTGACTGGAACAATACACAAATAACCCGCACGTAGGAGAGAGGAGCTTACGACGACGTTTCGGTACGACTTGGATCATTTACAAGTCACGCTGACACACGAAGGTGAGGGAGCCAGTGTGTATAGGTGAGGGGGAGAGGGACGGGACAAAGAGGGGGAAGAAAGAAGAGGAGTAGTGGTAGACGTAATGCTGGCAGTGGAAGTAGTAGTAGTAGTAGTAGTAGTAGTATTAGTATTTGTGGTAGTGTCAGTGTGACTTGTAAATTGTCCAATTCGGACCGAAACGTCGTGGTAAGCTCCTCTCTCCTACGTGCGGGTTGTGTATTGTTCCAGTCTCGGTATTGTGACTTTTGTTCTTCATAACACAATATTTTAATCACGGTGAATAATTTCACAAACAGACATAGCAATAAGCCGCCTGTCTGCCATAAATGCATGTAGTGGCTTTCTTTTGTACTTAACACTGTTACCTGTATACAACGTTCTCTGTGTACTGCATAACGAAATTAAGTATTTGTGGTTGAATGTTGAGTGTTGCGCTTGTGTCTTCTTGGTGTTGGTTATCGTTAGCAAAATTAGGAGAGTGAAGCGTGTAGAAAAGTGGTTCAGAAAACCCACAGATTGATAAATTATGCACATGTGCAACACTTGGGGTGTCTTTATTGTGGAAACGTTTCGCCATATAGTGGCTTCATCAGTCCAGTACAGAGAAGAATGGTGAAGATCAGAAGGAGTTTAAAGTAATCAGTCCCTTAGCCTGGGGTTGATGTTATCAGTCCATCAATCTTGATAAGAAAAGAGCATATACGGGAAGAAGTGGCTTATATACTGCAGACAGGTGATGTGAAGCAGTAGTAGGCGGTGTCACCTTGGACAAATCCACAGGTGAGGTGAAGCAGTTGTTTGCGGTGTCACCTTGGACAGATCCACAGGTGGAAGTAGGTTTAGGCAAGAGTTAAGAGTACAGATAAGGGGACAACAAGCAGCGCCTCACCCATCCAAGAACTGCAGAGCTCCTGACGAGGACCCCATGTAGGCCAGGCGACCCTCCGCCAGCAGCAGGAGCTTGTCGAACATAAGGAACACCTCTGTGGAGGGTTGGTGGATGGTGCAGAGGATAGTCTTGCCTCGAGCCGCCATTTCTCGCATCATTCGTACCAGCTTCTTGGCATTGTAAGAGTCGAGGCCTGTGGTAGGCTCGTCACAGAAGAGCAGAGGCGGGTCAGTCAGGATCTGTGGGAGTATATATTTTGGCACAGATCATACATAGTGTAAATTACCTGGGATAATCCCAAAAAAGTCAGAAAAATTGACTTATTTCCAGTAAGTAGGTTTATTTAGGCGCATGTGCACAAAAGTACAGTTACCATACATGATGTAGATTACCTGAGATAAAGAAAAAGTCAGATATAGTGGTTTGTTTCCATTGGAGTTCTTGGAGTAAAATAGAGGCCAGACGAGGGAAATAGAGGCCATACGAGGGAAATAGAGGCCAGACGAGGGAAATAGAGGCCAGACGAGGGAAATAGAGGCCAGACGAGGGAAATAGAGGCCATACGAGGGAAATAGAGGCCAGACGAGGGAAATAGAGGCCAGACGAGGGAAATAGAGGCCATACGAGGGAAATAGAGGCTAGACGAGGGAAATAGAGGCCAGACGAGGGAAATAGAGGCCATACGAGGGAAATAGAGGCCAGACGAGGGAAATAGAGGCCAGACGAGGGAAATAGAGGCCATACGAGGGAAATAGAGGCCAGACGAGGGAAATAGAGGCCAGACGAGGGAAATAGAGGCCAGACGAGGGAAATAGAGGCCATACGATGGAAATAGAGGCTAGACGAGGGAAATAGAGGCCAGACGAGGGAAATAGAGGCCAGACGAGGGAAATAGAGGCCAGACGAGGGAAATAGAGGCTAGACGAGGGAAATAGAGGCCAGACGAGGTAAATAGAGGCCAGACGAGGGAAATAGAGGCATGACGAGGGAAACAGAGGCCATACGAGGGAAATAGAGGCCAGACGAGGGAAATAGAGGCTAGACGAGGGAAATAGAGGCCAGACGAGGGAAATAGAGGCCAGACGAGGGAAATAGAGGCCAGACGAGGGAAATAGAGGCTAGACGAGGGAAATAGAGGCCAGACGAGGGAAATAGAGGCCAGACGAGGGAAATAGAGGCCAGACGAGGGAAACAGAGGCCATACGAGGGAAATAGAGGCCAGACGAGGGAAATAGAGGCCAGACGAGGGAAATAGAGGCCAGACGAGGGAAATAGAGGCTAGACGAGGGAAATAGAGGCTAGACGAGGGAAATAGAGGCCAGACGAGGGAAATAGAGGCCAGACGAGGGAAATAGAGGCCAGACGAGGGAAATAGAGGCTAGACGAGGGAAATAGAGGCTAGACGAGGGAAATAGAGGCCAGACGAGGGAAATAGAGGCCAGACGAGGGAAATAGAGGCCAGACGAGGGAAATAGAGGCTAGACGAGGAAATAGAGGCCAGACGAGGGAAATAGAGGCCAGACGAGGGAAATAGAGGCCAGACGAGGGAAATAGAGGCCAGACGAGGGAAATAGAGGCCAGACGAGGGAAATAGAGGCCAAACAAGAGGAAATAGAGACCCAGCAAGTGGAAATAAAACCCAGACAAGTGGAAACAGAACCCAGACAAGTGGAAATAGAACCCAAACAAGTGGAAACAGAACCCAGACAAGTGGAAACAGAACCCAGACAAGTGGAAACAGAACCCAGACAAGCGGAAACACAACCCAAACAAGTGGAAACAGAACCCAGACAAGTGGAAACAGAACCCAGACAAGTGGAAACAGAACCCAAACAAGTGAAAACAGAACCCAGACAAGTGGAAACAGAACCCAGACAAGTGGAAACAGAACCCAGACAAGTGGAAACAGAACCCAGACAAGTGGAAACAGAACCCAGACTAGTGGAAACAGAACCCAGACAAGTGGAAACAGAACCCAGACAAGTGGAAACAGAACCCAAACAAGTGGAAACAGAACCCAGACAAGTGGAAACAGAACCCAGACAAGTGGAAACAGAACCTAGACAAGTGGAAACAGAACCCAGACAAGTGGAAACAGAACCTAAACAAGTGGAAACAGAACCCAGACAAGTGGAAACAGAACCCAGACTAGTGGAAACAGAACCCAGACAAGTGGAAACAGAACCCAGACTAGTCGAAACAGAACCCAAACAAGTGGAAACAGAACCCAGACAAGTGGAAACAGAACCCAGACAAGTAGAAACAGAACCCAGACAAGGGGAAATAGAACCCAGACAAGTAGAAACAGAACCCAGACAAGGGGAAACAGAACCCAAATGTAGGACAATCAACCCCCACTAACCTCGGAAGCGAAAGCCAATCTCTTACGTTCACCTCCAGAGAGTGACTTGGTCATGCCAGGGACGCCAATCCTCGAGTGCAACACCTTAGTCAGTCCCAGTTCCTTGGTGAGCTGTTGTACTCTGGCCTTCCTCTCTGACCACGACGTTCCTGAGTCCATACGTAGCCGAGCCTAGACCAGTCTTTATTTTAGTGCTAACACCATCATCACCATGCGCACCTCTTGTTGTTATTATTATTATTATTATTATTATTGTTACTATGGTATTATCATTTTTGTCAACACATCGGCCGTATTGGCATTATTATTGATGTTAATGTACGTATATATTAATATTTTATTGACGAACAGGCAGCACTCTTTTCACCACCACTCAACCACCCACTACCACACACCACACTCAGCCACCCACTACCACACTCACCACTCATGCCACCCATACCACACACCACCACTCAGCCACCCACTACCACACACACCACTCAACCACCCACTACACAAAACCACCACTCAACCACCATACACACACCACCACTCAACTCCACTACACACACCACACCAACACCACTACACACACACCACTCAACCACCCACTACACACACCACCACTCAACCACCCACTACCACACACCACCACTCAACCACCCACTACCACACACCACCACTCAACCACCCACTACCACACACCACCATCAACCACCCACTAAACCACACACCACCACTCACCACCCACTACACAATCACCACTCAACCACCCACTACCACACACCACCAACAAACACCCACTACCACACACCACCACTAAGCCACCCACTACACACACCACCACTCAACACCCACTAACCACACACCACCACTAACCACCCACTACCACACACCACCATCAACCAACATACCACACACTAACTCAGCACCCACTACACACAACCACCCTCAACCACCACTACCACACCACCACTCAACCACCCACTACACACACACCACTCAACCACCACTACCACACACACCACTCAACCACCAACCACACACCACCACTCAACCCCACTACCACAATACACTCACCAACCACTACCAACACACAACACTCAACACCCCTACAACACACCACCGTTAAAACCACTACACACACACCACTCAGCCACCCACTACCACACACCACCACTCAATCAACCAATACCACCCCACACTCAACACCCATAACACCACACATCAACCACCATACCACACACCAACTCAACACCACTACCACAACCACACTCAACAACCCCTACAACACACCCCACTCACACCCACACCACACACCACACTCAACACCCCACACACTACACTCAGCCACCCATACCACACTCACCTCTAACCACCCATCACCACACACCACCATCAACACCACTACACACACCACCACTCAACCACCCACTACCACACACCACCACTCAACCACCACTACCACACCCCACTCAACACCACTTACACACACCAATCAACCACCCCTACCCACAACCACCACTCAACCACCCACTTACCACTCACCTCAACTCAACCACCCACTACCACACACCACCACTCAAACCACCCACTACCACAACCACACTCAACCACCCACTACCACACACTACCACTCAGCCACCCACTACCACACACACCACTCAACCACCCACTACCACACACTACCACTCAACACCCACTACCCACACCACCACTCAACAACCCACTACCACAAACCACACTCAACCACCACTACCACACACCTCCACTCAACCACCCACTACCACACGCCACTACTCAACCACCATACCACCCCACTCACTCAACCATACACAACCACACCAACACCACTACCACCAACACTCACCACTACCACACACCACATCTCACCCCACTACCAACACACACCAACACTACCACACCCAAACACCACCAACACACCACTAGACACCATACCAACCCCACTTCAACACCCACTACCACACACACCATAACCCCACACACACACCAAACTACCACACACCACCACATCAACCACCCACTACCATCACACCACACTCAACACCCACTACCACACACACCACTCAACCAACCACTACCACACACTACCACTCACCACCCACTACCCCACAAACCCCCACTTAACCCCCCACTACCACACACCACCACTACCAACCACTACCACACACACCACTCAACCACCATACCACACACCACCCCTCAACCACCCACTACCACCACACCCCTCAACCACCCACTACCACCCCCACACTCAACCACCCACTACCCCACACCACCACTCAACCAACCACTACCACAAAACCACCACTCAACCACCCACTACCACACACTACCACTCAGCCAACCCACTACCACAAACACCACTCACCACCCACTACCACACACTACCACTCAACCACCCACTACCCACACACCACTCAACCCCCACTACACACACCACCACTCAACCACCAATACCACACCACCACTCAACACCAATACACCACCACCACTCAACCACCATACCACCACCACCCCTCATCCAACCACTACACACACCACACTCAACCCCCCCTACCAAAACACCACCACTCAACACCCATACCACACACATCATCAACACCTACTACCACACACCACTAACAACTACTACCACACACACCACTACCACCCACTACCACACACTCACCACTCAGCACCATACCACACACCACCACTCAAACCACCCACTACCACACACCACCACTCAAACCACCCACTACACACACCACCATAACACCCACTACCACACACCACCAATCAACCACCCATACCCACACACCACACTCAAACCACCCACTCACACACCACACAACCAACACTACCACACACTACCACTCAGCCACCACTACCACACACCACACTCAACCACCCACTACCACACACTACCACTCAACCCCCCACTACCACACACCACTCAACACCACTACCACACCCACCACCAACCACCACTACCACCACCCCCACTCAACCACCCACTACCACACGCCCATACTCAACCACCCACTACCAACACCACCATCAACCAACCACTACCCCCACACCACCACTCAACCACCCACTACCACACACCACCCCTCAACCACCCACTACCACACACCACCCCTCAACCACCCACTACCACACACCACCACTCAACCAACCACTACCACACACCACCACTCAACCACCCACTACCACACCACCACTCAGCCACCCACTACCACACACCACCAATCAACCACCCACTACCACACACCACCACTCAACCACCCACTACCACACACCACCACTCAACCAACCACTACCACACACCACCACTCAACCACCCACTACCACACACACCACTCAGCCACCCACTACCACACACCACCACTCAACCACCCACTACCACACACCACCACTCAACCACCCACTACCACACACCACCACTCAACCAACCACTACCACACACCACCACTCAACCACCCACTACCACACACCACAACTCAACCACCGACTACCACACACGACCACTCAGCCACCCACTACCACACACTACCACTCAGCCACCCACTACCACACACTACCACTCAGCCACCCACTACCACACAAAACCACTCACCATGAACATCAGATGCTCCCTGACGCTCAGAGTTCCCACGAAGATATCATCCTGGTGAACGTAACCAGAGATGGCGTTCATGCTGTGACTGACCTTGTGACCGTTCACCAGTATATCACCGTCAACCACCACCTCCCCCGGGGTGCGATGCGCCAGAGCGTTCATCAGAGTAGACTTACCCGCCCCGCTGAGTCCAATATATATATATATATATATATATATATATATATATATATATATATATATATATTTTAATATATATATATATATATATATAATATATATATATATATATATATATATATATATATATATATATATATATATATATATATATATACGTTTTCAAGCATATGCTTATATATCTGCGGTATTCATGATAGCACACAAGTGTTATGGACTCATGGTGGCACAAGTGTTATTTACTCATGAGGGCGCACAGGTGTTATGGACTCATGATGGCACAGGTGTTATGGACTCATGAAGGCACACAGTTGTTATGGACTCAGGAAGACACACAGGTGTTATGGACTCAGGAAGACACACAGGTGTTATGGACTCAGGAAGACACACAGGTGTTATGGACTCAGGAAGACACACAGGTGTTATGGACTCAGGAAGACACACAGGTGTTATGGACTCAGGAAGGCACACAGGTGTTATGGACTCATGAAGACACACAGGTGTTATGGACTCAGGAAGGCACACAGGTGTTATGGACTCAGGAAGGCACACAGGTGTTATGGACTCAGGAAGGCACACAGGTGTTATGGACTCATGAAGGCACACAGGTGTTATGGACTCAGGAAGGCACACAGGTGTTATGGACTCATGAAGGCACACAGGTGTTATGGACTCAGGAAGGCACACAGGTGTTATGGACTCAGGAAGACACACAGGTGTTATGGACTCAGGAAGGCACACAGGTGTTATGGACTCATGAAGGCACACAGGTGTTATGGACTCAGGAAGGCACACAGGTGTTATGGACTCAGGAAGACACACAGGTGTTATGGACTCAGGAAGGCACACAGGTGTTATGGACTCAGGAAGGCACACAGGTGTTATGGACTCAGGAAGGCACACAGGTGTTATGGACTCAGGAAGGCACACAGGTGTTATGGACTCAGGAAGGCACACAGGTGTTATGGACTCAGGAAGGCACACAGGTGTTATGGACTCAGGAAGGCACACAGGTGTTATGGACTCATGAAGGCACACAGGTGTTATGGACGCATGAAGACACACAGGTGTTATGGACTCAGGAAGGCACACAGGTGTTATGGACTCATGAAGGCACACAGGTGTTATGGACGCATGAAGACACACAGGTGTTATGGACTCAGGAAGGCACACAGGTGTTATGGACGCATGAAGGCACACAGGTGTTATGGACGCATGAAGACACACAGGTGTTATGGACGCACGTATATTGTTGTAATTTACGTACAATTTAAGCTAAGAATAACCTAGGATATGCTGAGATAATCTAGAAAAAGTTAGAATAAGCAAGGATAACCCAGGATAAGCTATGATAACCCAGTACAAGCTAGGATAACCCAGGGTAAGATATAACCCAGTATAAACTAGGATAACCAGGATTAGCTGGGATAACCCAAGATAATCTATAATAACTTAGGGTAAGTTACGATAACCTAGCATCAGTTAGAATAACCAAGGATAGACAAGGATAAGCTAAGATTACCAAATTATTTCTAAAACTAACCGAACCACAATAAATATTAGAACCGGTGTATCGAAACCCCATTGAATAATATAATAATAATAATAATAATAATAATAATAATAATAATAATAATAATAATAATAATTAATTTTTGATCAATATACCTTCAAGACTTTATCAATATGTAGTGAGAGATGTATATTACTGATGTATATACATCTTCTAGCACATACACTGACAGATATACTCATCTTTTAGGCTTTATCAAAGTTTACTGTGTATATACACGGCCGTATATACATCTCTTAGTACAGTGATAGATATACACCTCTCATTGTATAAACGTAGATATACACCACTCAGCATGTATACACAGAGAGATACCTCAGTGTATACACACTAAATAAACGTATACATCGCGATGTATATATTCTCTTTTGTTAATTGTAATATTATTATTATTATTATTATTATTTATTATTATTATTATTATTATTACTATAAATATTATTATTGTTATTAATACAATCATGGTGAGTGCTAAACTCGTAAGAGTTATACACCATCTGGGAAATACGGGGCAATCAGATTTAATGCGTGAAAAGTGAGAGGGGTGGATAGCTCTGCTTTCTTGGATCAAGAGCCCACCATCACTAGTTTGAAAGTGGACAGTGACTTACCTGGCTCCCATGAGTGCCACCAAAGTGCCAGGCTGCACCGCTCCAGACACTGTTGACACAATAGTAATAATAATAATAATAATAATAATAATAATAATAATAATAATAATAACAATAATAATAATAATAATAATAATAATAATAATAATAACAATAATAATAATAATAATAATAATAATAATAATAATAATAATAATAATAATAATAATAATAACTAATAATAATAATAAAAATAATAATAATAAATAATAATAATAATAATAATAATGATAATGAATAATAATAATAATAATAATAATAATAATAACAATAATAATAATAATAATAATTATAATATAATAATAATAATAATAATAATAATAATAATAACAATAATAATAATAATAATAATAATAATAATAATAATAATAATAATCTTTATTTCTAGACGTACATGATACAACTTATACAGACCATAGCTGACATCAGTGACATACTACTATATAGAAAGTCCCTTGTAATGCTGAGCATTTCCCGCTAATTAGGTCAGTTTTGTCCCCCAGGATGCGACCCACACCAGTCCACTAACACCCAGGTACCTACTTACTGCTAGGTGAATATGGACAGCAGGTGTCTTAAGGAAACACGTCCTAATATTTCCATCCGTACCGGGGATCGACCCCTGGCCCTCAGTGTGTGAGCTGATTGCACTAGCGATCGACTGTATATAATTAGGGATGGGCTATAGTATCGTTACCTTTGTAAAATGTTAATATTACTGTGTGGTTAAAAGTATCTACATTAATATACATTGTGCTGTAAATATTGTCTTATACAGTAAACGCAGTCATTATATATATATATATATATATATATATAATATATATAATATATATATATAATATATATATATAATATATATATATATATATTAATATAATATATATATAAATATAAATATATATAAAAATATATGAAAAACAACCACTGTGAAAGAATAGAGAAATTCCAAGCGCTTTCGTGACTGCTCACATTATCAAGGAACTATGAAAGTAAAGCATCCAAGGAAGCTATATAAGGGGTCTGGCCAACACCTCACTATCAGATCCCACAACGGTTAAACACCTGACGCGCGCCGACCCAACTTGGATAGGTCCTTCGCACAACCCACCAACAAACTATTCTACCATCAAAAGGACGATCTCTCATGATGATTTTATGAGAATTATTCTTCAGAAACATATTGAAATAACTAAAATACAGGAGAAGGAAGCATTCAAAATATTGAGAAACAAAAAATACTCTTTTAATCAGGCCATTCCATCAGAATGGAAACACAGTATGTTGGATCATTGCTATAATAAACTCAGAAGAATTTGTAATGAACTCAAGAGCAAATTACAAAGAAAATTAGACATTTTAATTGAAAATAGTGATTGGACAAAGCATGCTAATAACAATTTTGTAATTAACTTTTCAGATGAAATTTTAGACAAACATACAACTGCTGCTCTAGGTTTTGGCCTAAGTTTTGCAACTTCAAAAAAAATTTAATAATGTTGAAATTGCAAAAGCCTTTTGTAACTTTGAAAAATTTTCTGATTTATCCCCTGATGAAATTAATATTAGTAAAGGAATGGTATACAGCTCTATGTTAAAACCAAACATTCCCAATTGCCCTCAAAGATTCTTTAAGTCTTATGATACACTTAATAACAATAAAAATTTGCGCCTTACAAAGCAGACAAAATAAATGCAATAGTAATTAGAAAGAAAATGATTACCAAGAAAAAAATGAATAATCTCTTAGATGATACTGAAACCTATTCTAAACTTAGGAAAAACCCCTAGAAACCTTTAAAACAGCAATTTTCAATAAAACAATAAAACTTCTACTGAAAGGCAAAGAGGGAATTATTCAAACAATTTACTTCCACTAACCATCTTTACCTTACATGTATGGACTAATAAAACACACAAACCGGGGAATCCAGTCAGACCAATTATTAGCTCCATAGGTCATTTTCATATAAATTACCCAAATGGCTTGTTGATATTTTGAGCCCTATTGTTGGCAAAATTTCTAACTTTATGTTAAAAACAACATAGATTTAGTTGATAAATTAAGCTCCTTGACTAACTTAAATGATTTTAACATGGTTAGTTTTTGATGTTTTCTTCCTTGTTTACGAAAGTTCCTGTTGATGATTTATTAAGTTTCTTATCTAAAAGAACTCGTTAACTATGATTTATCATTGCCAGTTCCTCCACTATCTTTAAAAACTTATTAAACTTTGCATTGTTGATGCAAAATTTGTATTTAATGATAAGTTTTACACTCAAAGTTTGGTATGGCAAGGGGAAATCCTCTTTCACCTGTTCTTAGTAACCTATACATGGAATTTTTTGAAACAAGGTTGCTTAACACAATCCTCCCTAATAGAGCAAAAATGGTTCAGATATGTTGATGATATTTTGTGTCTTATGCCCAAAAATGTAGATATACACCATTTCCTTGGAAAATTAAATAGCTTAGCCCATTCTAAAAACTTTACTGTTGAGTTTGAAGAAAATAACCCCATTGCCTTTTCTAGATGTTTTTAATTTTTAAAGGGGTAATAATGAATTCAAATTTAAAATTTACAGAAAACCTACAAAATAACTGTTCCTATGTCAAACGTCTTTTTTTCCTCATCAATGTTTTTGAGAGCTTTACGAATTTGTAGTCCTGAGTTAAATAGATGAGAAAAACCAAATTTATGAAATAGGTAATGATTTAAAATACCCAAGAAATGTAATTGATAAATCTTTAAAGTGCTAAAAA